TTTCTTATTTTTCTAGTCCAGACGTTCACTTCCCTCTGAGGGAGAGGCGGAATCTCTTCAATTGTATTTAATATTCGAAAAGTGGGGTGCTAAGTTGTCGGAGGTAGTGTCGGTAACAGTGTCGCGCCGCGTCGCGTCGCGTCGCGTCGGCGCGTAGCGGAACGGGGAATCACGGACGTACAGGCAGGAAGGTAGGACAGAGGAGGAGATAAAACGAGATAAAACGAGATTGAGAGGCCCAAGGCCGCCGCTGTCGGCCGTTTCCGCCAGCGCTCGGCGTCTAAAATTGCGATGGCGTGGCTCCGCGGCCTTCGCGAGCGCGGCAGCTTCTCGCTCTCTCGTCAGAAAAGTCAAGTTCAAGGCCGGCGAGGCATATCTCTCCCTCTCCCCCCCCCCCCTCCCGCTTGTTCTTCCCATGTCCGCCTTTCGAGCTCTCAATCGAACGCGGCTCGAACGCGGAGGGAGGAGAACACTTACGCAACCCTTTCCCCCGTGTGTGCAACCTGTCCCGCTAGAATATAATGGAACAAACGTAGGACCGATTGCACCGACGTTCCGCGCTAAATAAGCCCGCTTTAACGAGTCTCTGGCCCCGACCCTCTTTCGATTTATGCCCGGGACGTGCGGAAGGGAGCATGGCACCGAGATCATCGGTCTTCGGCGTATTGACGTTACGATCGAGGGAGAGCCGAGCTCTCCGCTCGCAGAAGGAGAGAAAGAGCGCTAAACGGACGCGTACGTGGTGTCAGGCAATTCGCACCGTTCGCTCTGGAGTCGCGCCGCCGGCGTATCAAGTCCTACTTTACTCGGTGAAATCGCTGAAAAAAAATTTTCGCTACCCAATCATGGTTTGCTAAAAATATTTTAAATGTATATAAACAGCAGCGTCGTCTCTGACGAACGTCAGTTGGTTCGAACACGCGCTCGGTTCTCGATTTCCATATCGATGGTCACCAATCGCCCAACTGATTCTGATTCAACGAAACACCATCAAAGATTTACGAGGGCTGTTTGATAAGTCAGTGACTTTTACAAGAGACGGCACTTGATCGCAGTCCAATTTTATTTCTGATACTCGTCATCTTATTTAGATAAGTTTCAAGTAGATCTGTCAAATAAAAATTCTTCCACAGCGTTCTAAAGCGGCCATGACCTTTCCGGCCAATAGACCGTTTTCGCCTTTTTCGGAGCACGTTCGCCAGGAGAAATCCATTGTTTTTACTGCTCCTTCGTTTCTGGAGTATAATAAAGGATCCATGTTTTATCTACGGTTACAGTTCCCTTAATGGGTTTTCCACGCAAAAAGTAACATTTTATTAGCACACGGAATTTACGTTTTTTTCCATTTCAGCAAAAGAACACAAATTTATCCGCTTTAGAACGCTGTGAAAAAATTTCTATTTGATAGATCTATTTGAAACTTTGCGTGTGTACTTAAGATGGCAAATATCAGAAATAAAATTAGACTGCGATTTGAGTGCCATCTCTTGTAAAAGTCACTGACTTGTCAAACAGTCCTCGTAAACTAAAGTTGGCACGATTCCATTGACATTCGGCATGGCATGGTCGTCGCAAATTTTACACAGACCAATCCTACTGCATATCGACTGAAAGTTATATGTATATTTATTATAAATTGTATCCACATAATTTTATTTTATTGACGTATTAATCTCCAAGTTATCATTCCAATTCGCCGAAGATGAACGCAGTGCGTTCGAAACGCGTCCGCATTTATAATGTACATACACGAGCTAATTGAAAGATTTTTTGTCAACACCTGCTCAGCTCGTTTTAACATTTTCGCCGTTGACCCCTTGATTTGCTTTTAGTCGACACGAGCGTTTTGACTTTTTGTTTTTTAATTGAAAATGTTTTGCTGCCATAACTACAAATTTCTAAATCACGGCGCATGGTTTGTCGCGCCTAATACAACATGGCACAGTAGCAAAATATTTGGCTATTGCAACTAAGTGTTGGCTGTCCATATTTTGCAACTGAAATTTAGCTGCCACATGCAGGTCTTAGGGCAGCTACATCTTTCTCAGCGTGATAGAATAGACAAGAGCGAGAGGAGGATAGAGCGTGGGCCTGGATAGTACGATATAGGCCTGAGTTTCGCTGCGTTAATCCCATCTCGTTCCCAAGGTCGCCCCGGCGATCAGTTCCGACTGAATCGACGGCAGCGCGGAGTCGAAATCGCTTCAATTGGCTTCCCGTTTCTTCGCACGTTTTCGGGGAAAATTCCGACCGAGTTTCGTGGGCGCACACTTGAACGCGAATCCGGCGCCGTGTCGGGTTTGCGCGAACGCAAGCGCGCGAGCTCGCGTCTGAAAAAAAATCAAGTTCAAGGTCGACTAGATGCTGCGCCTCCGCTTCTCCCCCCCTCCCGTCTGCGAGTCTCGCTTTCTGCTGGCACACGACACATGATGCCGAGCAGGACTGGAGGGAGGGGAGGAAGGGGACTTACGCAATCCTTTCACCGTTACTTTGTTCATCAACGTCCTAATCTAGGGCGCGGTTATCTCGGACCCGACGTCGTCGAATGGCGTCATTTTGTTACATCAACTGTTGGGTCATGAGATATTTTTTTTACGCATACACTGCACCCTTCGACTGCTCCTTTGCCTGCGAGAAATTAACTTCTCGACGAGTTCATTTACTCTTTTTTTTTTCTCTCTCTCTAAATGCTCCGCACTAGGAACTAAGAATCCCCCTATCAATTTGTACGGGTCGTTTCAAACTCAAAGTAAATACTTGGTCACATTTTTAATAATTTAATCAATCTGATCACGCGCGTGTTAGTATCTCTGATTATTCACGATTGGGAATTTCTGGTTCAAATGTACTTTGGATTTGTTTCGGGATTCGGTTTTGTATCCAAAATCTATACCCAAACAGCCAAGCCTGCAGAGAACGGATTACAGGAAACTCTGTTTCCAAATTTTGTCGACAGAAAGACAGCAGATTTGATACAGACTCTGATATATCACATGATGTTGGCAGAACGTCAACAGAAATATAACAAAGCTCGATAACGTGTTTAGACAGCAGATTGGCGGCAGAAATCGAGCAGATCGCGCTTACGCAACATGGCGACAGATTGCAGCCGAAATCGAACAGAATCTGCTGACACAATGGCTGTGTTCTGCCCAAGTTAGCTAAGAATAAGCGCTTTATGCTGATTGGATAGATCTAGAAGAATAGCTCTATTTCAGCACAGATCTGAAAGTATAATCCAATGAACGCAAAGCGCTTAGCAAGCGCAAACTTCTGCTGGACACAGGCAGTTTGTCGGCAGATTGGTAGCAAAACGGAGCAAACTCTGTCGTTTAGTAGCCTAACGTTCCCGCTAGATGGACACGTGGTATGACACTTTCTCGTAGGAAGAAAACCGCACGCGGTATTATAAATTAACACATCCACATGAGATTCCTTGGTCATCTTTTTGAAGTTCTAAAATGAGCTTTCTTGCACTCTTGTCTACAAGTGCGTAGAAATCTTAAAGGATTGCTTACTTATTTGTATTTTTGTAATGAAAGGAACGAAGACGGTAAAAAATATAAATTAAACGGCAGATCCTGCTCAATTTTTGCCACCAAACTGCCGCGCAGATCCTGCTCGGTTTCTGCCGACAATCTGCTGTCCAAGCATGTCAGCAAACTCTGGCGGCAGAACGCAGGCTGAATGCGGACGCAGAGGATGTCAATCTGCTGAAATGTTCTGATGAAATCTGTTGCCAGTCTACCTACAATCCGTTATCAATTTGCTTACGGGATACTCGTGGTGCACAGAAATCGAGCCAGGAGATCCTAAACATGTTCAGCGACATAGACAAGGACGGAGATCGATTTGTGTTTTGAACGTCGAAGTTTCATCGACGTTTTAAATAACGACTAGAGTTACCGTCAAATCAGCAGTATGCCCGGGGTAATCGTATCCCGTGCTCGTGCAAGATAGTAGGTACTTACACGCGGTTCGCAACGATAGCGGTTCTCAGCTTTTGCGTTTCTTCTAGTAGCAACATGTTGACACAATATTGGGAAATGATGTAAATCTAATATTCTTAACATTGGTCCAATGTCGTCCAATTGACGCAATGTTGGGAAGCTATGTAAATCTAATATTCTCCACATTGGTCCAATGTCCAAGACGCCTTCTCTTAATTAGCCAATATGTCATTCAGCAATATTGATCCAATATTGCATCAATATTCACATTACATTGGGAAATTTTGGTCAATGTACTTCAGTATAAATTCAATATAAATATTGTTGTATAATTATTGTCGCGCAACATTTGCATTTGTTTCACGACCAGTACTGGCTTTACATTGGAAAATATCAGCTGATGCCCTTGCAAACTTTGCATACGTGAGTAAATGCACAGTATATTGGCGCGATATTGGGAAATAATGTAAACCTACAATAATATTCTCAACATTGGTCCAGTGTCGTAAGGTGGATTCCTCCTCTTGTTTGGTCAATATGTCTATTCATTATTGGTCTAATATTGTATCAATATTCGCATTACATTGGGCAATCCTTGATCAACACCAATATAATTATTGTTATGCAACATTTGCATTTGTTTCGTGGGCGTTATTGGCTTTGCATCGAGAGATATCGGTCAATGTACTCCAACACAACCAATGTAGACAAATGTTGAGCTAGTAGCACTGTGCTGCTATCCGAGCGCGCAATGTAGGATCCGCGAGGATGGTCCGCGATAGAGGAGAGGAGAGCCCCGCTGATCGCTGGGACTATTGGGCGGCGATACCGCGAGGTCTCCGAAGTCAATTCTAAAAATGCCCGAGGCGTTAGTCGCGCTTAAATATAGCGGTCGCAAAAAATAAAAAAGTGCAGCCCTGACTGTAGAGAGGAGACGACGGGTGATCCTCTCGCGTATAAACCTCTCGCGCTTAGAATCCGCTGTTTCTACGATCGCGCGCAATGTGTTACCTCGGCGACTATACGTGTTCCTTCTTCTCGCCTTGACAGGTCTGTATGATGTCTGATGCTACTACAGAAAGCATGATCGGGAATAACAGGACGATGCCTAACATCAAGCAGGAAATCGATAACCCAACAACGCCCACGCAAAATTATCAAGTGTGCTCGCCAACCACGACTCTTCAGCATCAAGAGGTATTGTTCGGGGAGTTTCTCGACTTCTCGTAACGAACATAGCTGTCCTGCTATTATCGCGCTAATATTAACTGCGCTGTGATACAATAATAATTGTTCGACCATTGCATAAGGAAACTACACTTATGTCTCGTGGTTTTCAAGAATATTTTTTTGTCAAAATCTTCGCCGCCAATATTTCTTTTTATCGTAAAGAAACGTTACACAAAGTAGACGTTTCTTTAAAAATCGCAAAACTTTCTTAGCTTTTTACTCGTTATGGTTACCGTGCTGTTAAGTACGTTGTGTTGTGTTAATTATTCCTTCAACAATTTCTTCGCATATTTCTTCACACATTTCACAATGTGTGTCTTCTTTTATCACATTTCTTCATGTGCGTTTTCTTTCGTCAGTTTAGCGTAATTCTTTACATTGCATTATATTGTAATTATCATGTCTTTATGTCTATGTCTTCATATATTTCTTCATATTATATTAACAATACTTTTTTTTTAGTCAATATGCACGAAGTTGGACATCACGGATTACGGCGGTAGCAATGGTAGTCCCGAGAGTCCAGAGATGCATCACTGTTCCTCGACGACGCAGCCATTGGGAACTCCAGAGGTGCGTGATCGCGTCCTGATAACATTTCTCCGTAGGCAGAGAGTTTATATTAGGAATGATTTATATTTGTACTACTATGAAGAATTGTCGTTTCTACAGGACGGCGTTAAGGAAGAAGATATGATACCCAGGAGGCTTTGTCTTGTCTGCGGTGATGTTGCGAGCGGTTTTCATTACGGAGTGGCCTCATGCGAAGCGTGCAAGGCTTTCTTCAAGAGAACTATACAAGGTAAGCGGGCTTATCGATTTCCGAAATAGACTGCAATAATTCGTCCAGATAGCACCAAGGACTACGTTAATGTGCATTTTCGATCGCATGGTATTTGCATATGTGCACACATACACACGGTACGTTTCGGACATTTATATTTGGATGCATGTGGCCTTTTGTAATCACAGGTTTGAAGACTAGTTGGTGCTATCTGGGACAGGAGGCCGCGTATATTACGATAAAATAGCTGGTAATTTTACAGGGAACATCGAGTACACTTGCCCGGCGAACGGCGAGTGCGAGATAAACAAACGAAGACGTAAGGCCTGCCAGGCGTGTAGATTTCAGAAATGTCTGCGGCAAGGAATGCTGAAGGAAGGCGTGAGATTGGATCGTGTTCGAGGCGGTCGACAAAAGTACAGAAGATCCACGGATCCTTATACGCCGGTCAAGAATGCTACGCTAGAGGGTATTTGCCTTATCCCTAATATAACTTCGCGTCATACTCATATCTCATATCACTCTATCGTATAATGAGGAAAGAGATATCTACAAAGAGATAAAGATTCTCCCACTTTTGAAAGACCATCTACATCTTTAACTTCATTTTCCATTATTCAATGTTTCAAGCTAACGTAGCGTCTACGGCAGCTCCTACCGAAACGATAAGTAAGCTATTGAATCATCGCCATGTATTTCTGTACATGTAGGTTATTCTTTATTGGTCTTTCAGTTTTTCTTTTGGTTTCATAATTTATTTATTTATCACATCTCTCATTGTTTCTTTAATATTTGTAAATGTTCATTTATAGCGTTAAACTTTCATTGTCGGCGTTTACTAATTGAATGGTACTTTCACGTTCACCTGGGACAATTTAAATAAAGAGATACATCGTGTCTCATCTTTTGCAGATAACAAGATGGTTGAAGCTTTGGCGGCCTGCGAACCAGACATGCTTCAGGTGTCCAATACTCCGAACACACTGGAGACCGATCAGAGAGTCCTCGGGCAATTGTCAGATCTGTACGACCGAGAATTAGTCGGCATAATCGGTAATTATCGACCGCGTGTACGCTAATAATTACGTTTGAAATTTTTCTTCGCTTGTTGTTCAACACTTAATCCGTTTCTCTGCAGGTTGGGCCAAGCAGATCCCGGGGTTCGGTAGTTTAGCGCTGAACGATCAAATGCGGCTTCTGCAGAGTACTTGGGCCGAGATATTAACCTTCACCCTAGCGTGGAGAAGTACGCCTAATACTGGCAGATTGAGGTTTGCGCAAGATTTTACATTGGACGAAAGACTCGCGCGCGAATGCCATTGTACAGAGCTCTATACACACGTAAGTGATTTTTTAAAAGTTCTCCTACAATTGTATATCTTAGTACTTTTTAGCTGTCATTAAATGGAAAAATTAATGTTTACTCTATTAGATTCATATTCAAGAAAATTTAGTTTTGTTGTATTTATATATTTACAATTCGCCAATGCGCAGCTTCTTATCGTATTGTTTCTTGTCTAAACAGTGTATACAAATCGTCGAGAGGATCCAGCGACTGGGTTTAACGCGGGAAGAATATTACGTGCTGAAAGCGCTGATACTAGCAAACAGTGACGCTAAATCTGACGAGCCCCAGGCGCTCTATCGTTTTCGAGATTCGATCTTAAATTCCCTGTCGGATTGTGTGGCAGCGGTGAGACCGGGCCAAGCACTCCGCGCCACGCAAAACATGCTGCTAGTGTTGCCCAGTCTCAGACAGGCCGATGGGATCGTCAGACGTTTCTGGTCCGGTATATATAAAACAGGCAAAGTACCGATGAACAAGCTCTTCGAGGAGATGCTGGAGAACGTTTGCGCTCGATGAGATACAATGTGGTTGTTGCAAATTTGGTAACTCGACCGCTCGTCGCCAGGATCATGCCGTTCTTTATTGTAAATTGACGATGCTCGCCACCAAACGTGATTATGTATTATTGTACATCGTTATTTCGGACACGGTTTTCTTTTCGATGTGCCATTGCGCTGTCGAAGATACCAGTGAGTGATAGTGCGCGGGAAAAAACGGAGTTTCTCGGTCCTTCTGCGATCCTTTTTTTATTTTCTAATAAACTTGTGGGTTTTTGGTCTTTTTTTTTTCTTTCTTGTTGCGTGCGAAGAGGACGTTGAAAGTGAAAATTCGGACAGTATCTCCGGCGATCACAGACATGTGTAGTCTTTGTTTGAAGTATCCAAACTTTCCTTTTCGAGTACCCCATTTACAGGTACAGAAAAAAAGAAAGAAAGAAAGAGAAAAGGAATAAAAAGAGGAACGGGAGAAGAAGGAAAAGTGTAACTTTTATGTTGAAACATAACAGTACAAGACGCGAGAAGACTTTCAAAGTACTCATTTTAGGATAGGCGTATGTGGAAGCCAATCGACGGCTTTATTACCAAATAAAGTGTTTCCGCTTGATCATCACGATCGCAACACTGAATAATAGTAGTTAGATAAGATGTAATAACTGTGGGTGTTTAACGTCGTAGTCATGATATCGTTGGTTAAGAATCAGCAATCAAAATTACTGTTATCGAACGGCATTTTCTCTATTCTCTTAATAATTTTTTTTTATTTTCTTTTTGTTTTATTCGTTGTGTATTCTGAGAAGCACTTGGAATCACCTCCCGTGCGTTCTCAACGTGAGATATATACATAATTATATATATATATATACTTATATATTGTCTCTTTTACATTAGCACTTGTAATTATAAATAGCTTAAATGTGAGGAGAAATCGAATAATATTAATCGATTATATTTGTGATAGCTGTATTGAACATCCATAGTTATATAGTGATGTAGAGATACGTCTTTGTACATTATTCTAGAATACATCTTTGTACAATATAAACGAGATCAAGTTAAAATGGGTGCGAAGAGACGAATGGACAAAAGATAGCGGTTAGAATGACTGAATTGTTCCTTGATCGGAGACACGCTGCTTCTACTCTATCTCTAATTCAGATTTTGTATTGGAGATATATTTTAAAGATCATTAGCAAGGCTGATGGCTAAATTATCATGCTTTCTTTGACGGTAGAAGTGTTTACCCGGTTATCAAAATGACCGCGTTATGTTATTTACGTGTGCCACACAAGAGAAAGAGCAGGAAAATATATCATTGCTAATATATATAATTATTAATATTATTTTTACAATCACATTATTACGATCATTATTATTACATTGATATGCAATTAATATTATTATTATTACCATTATTATATTCAGGGATCTTTATTATCTAGTTATTATCACTAATTATCGTTGTTATGAAGAATCACCAAGCATAATATCATTGACGCGCCTATGCGCGATCATAACGTTACACATGCCTTTCACAATGGGAAATTTTTTAAGGAGAGAACGAGAGTCATATATAGAAAGAGAGTAAGTTTCATGGAGCTTCATTTGACGACGATTGGTCGTGAGTCTACGGCGGTTTTTATCAAATTCGCTCATAATCTCTCCAGTCGTTTGGAGGGTTATTTGAATTTTTTTGGAATTACTTGTATAAAACGAGGGTTAGCATTCAAATTCAGTTCTCTTTTTTGCCCGTTATATTTTTGCTTATTCTTATATACATGGTATTAAAATTTAGGTGGCAAAAAAGGTAATACGTACGTATTTTTCTAATTATAAAATTATTTCCTCAAGACAGAAATGGTAAAAGCCGTGTGTGGATCTCGTTACATCGCGTGACTATCGTCATGGGTCTAGAGTGCAATAAAGTCAGGACGCGCAGTTTATCTTCCTTCTCAATAACCAGATAATGTCGTCCCTTTGCTCTCCCTTGATTGTCCTTATATTTTGCTCGTAAGCTACTTGAGTTTTTCTCTCTTTATTCTTTCTGCATTTAAATCTGTGGAAAACAATTTGCGGCTCGATCTCGCACTCGCTACTCTTCCTCACGCTTATCTAATTATCTGTCGCTTTCTTGATTGATTAACGTAATAAAAAAGAAGCGGATAACAATTTTTTTTCGTGCTCTGTCTGGACAGTCGCGCCCTATTTGATTTTTTAGCTAATTATTTTGTTTTCTTAAAAATTGTTTTGAGAAAGTTATTTAATACTACCCGGAATTTTTATTACAGAAAATACTAATACGTCTAAAAAAACCCATTGTAAATTATGTTTGTAAATTATATATCACAGAGATTTATTATATATTTGTAGCAGCGTTGCGTTATTATTACAAACATGTTATGCACCGCAATGTCGCACTGAAAAAATTCTTTAATGTTCCTGCAGTCTTGTTGCCGTAAGATTGATGGAACGTTTTGTGTACGGGAATTAATATCCAAAAATGATTGTCGCTGCCGTTTTCTGGATAGTCTCGAAAACGTTACGTAAAATATTTCTTCGGAAAAGTCCTTCGGTCTGTTTTCCCTTTTTCGTCTAAAAACACAATTCGAATAGCACATAACGTTCCAACAATATTGCAGCAACATAGCTGGAACGTTGCTGCAATACTCTGTGCTGTATGAGAAAAGTTAGTAGATGGAAAGTTTCCGTAAAAAAATTGCAGAAACATCTGAAGTTTTACTTCGCAGAAAATTTGTATTGCGCGCCGCGTCATGTGTGTACGTCAACATTTCGAATTCGGTAAGATTATAAAAAAGGCTATTCCTCCCGCGATGCCGACGTTTTTCTTCGTTTTTATTTTCGTCGAGGCCAACGAGCTTTCCCGTTTAACTGTGATATTCGCGTTACGGATTCCGCTGTCGCTGGAATCAATCCGTAGAATTAATGTTTCCTTCTATCTTCCCCCCCCCCCCCTTTCGTTGTTGAACGCGCGCGCTGAGGAAACTGCGGTGATGTTGAAACATCCGTCGATCCACAGATGTGTCTCTTAAAGTCTCCGCATTGACCCAACTTCTTCAACTTGAGACAAATTAGGATAATTTTCGTAAGGCGTTTCCCTTCGCATTGTGCCGCCCAATTTTGTCCCGATTTCTCCTTTTCCTTCCGTTCTTTATGTCAGATTCCAAACCATCATCCCGCTTCTTCTCCAATCAATCACTAACAATTGTGTAACTCCTGCTATATTTGGTGTCGCAAAGTTACCCCGAGACCCTCCAATCGTGCCGGCGCGATGGACGTAGGAAGGTTTTAAGATATTTTCGCTTCATCGAAAAGAGATACGAAGAGAAAGAAAGAGAAAAAAAAAGAAGAACGAAAAGCGTCAGGTATTTTTTTGTATGCGCTGCCGGATTATGAAGTTTCATACTTTTTCGAGCATTTTCCTTTGTACATATGTAATCACCGCGATTCGCCGTGGCGGTAGAATCGTAGTCTCAGGGTTGCAAGCAAGCAAACACGATACAAACGTAGGCACACTGAAATAGTTAAGCGTGCGAGTATATCTCTGTCAAAACATTGTAAGAGTAGTATGTAAAACGATAGATTTACACGAGGGGAAAGAATAGAGCGTTGTGACAAAAATGCGATACGTTGCGTAACACAGGGGAAGATTGTGGAGACGGCGGACATTTATCGCGGAGATGAAAGAGAGGCAAACGTGGACGGGGGGGATCCCAAGCAGAGCGAAAACTCACGCAAAAGTAAAGATGACATCAAAAAGCAAACCTCTCCAGAAAGTTGGGAAACATTTCTCGAAAGTTTAACGTTTTTAATGAAACACAACTTGACTTTTTGCGACTGTACTTTGATTGGACTCTTCAATGACTTTCGCCGAGAAAACGCAAATCTCTCGTGCACGCGAAATGATTAAAATCTCGCAGAAATTATATTTTACGAATGTGTGAAAACATTTGAAGCATTGAAAATTCTGATTTTCTATTCGCAAAACACAAAATAAAAGCTTAAGGATACAAATCTAACGAAATACTGAATACCGTGCTGTATCGTACAAATTATATTCTTATTGTAATAGTATCAGTTTTGTTAAAAAGTGTCATTTTGTATCCGTTACTATCTATTATTATCACCATTAAGTCCTGACGTACAGTTATGAGTGTCGGAGATAATCCAAGTTGAGATTATCGCGAACCACGTCAAACAGCATTTCTCCATTTCGAAATCACAACTCGATCGATTTTCTGTCGCGGTCAAAATATGATATTTTTGACAGTCGTCACGATGCCATTTTAATGATCCTTTCGACATCGTCGTGACTTCTTGTTCCGCTTGGGATGGAATTGTCGACGAAGGTATAATTATTACGGGGCATTGTATGGCGAGACGATTATAGGTTTTTATTTTTCGGCGGTACGATTTTACAAAACTCGCGTTTCGCTGCTCGGTTTCGAAGGGCCTTCCATCCTGTTTTGGAAAAGCGCCTCGTACACCGTGGGAGTCAATTCTGTATCTTACACTACAGTGAAAATGCTAAAAGCGAGTAGCTTTAACCGTTTTCCTAGAAAGAGACAAAGCCGCTTGTTTTTAACATTTTTACTTGTAAGATACAGAATTGACTCCCTCGTCTCGAACGGTGACTTGTTATTTCCTTGAGATCTCGTATTAGAGGATGATTAGAACTACGTGTAATTCATCGTGGAAGGCCTTGGCTCGAGAAGATCCTCTCGCAAGGGAAAAATGTGATGTGCGACGTGACTCTCTTCTTTCCCGAGGACAAGGGTAGGACGATCGTATAGCGCTAATAATCCGTGGTTAAGTAAGTTCCTTCGGCGGCGGAGATCTTGCCCTTTTTTCGTTTGATTTTGCGATACGAGAACGCGTCTACACCGAGGGTATATTTATTACAAATAGTTCACGGATGAAAATATTCACGAGATGTATGACGAGGTGCGATTCTTTTTTTCACATTTGTGAAAAGCGAACTGTTTCGTAAGTGCAAATTCGGATATTCGCATCTCTCCTCGGGTCCTTTAATTATTGTAATATAGAAATCAAAATGCGAAATTGTTGAACTTCTATTTTTTTTCAATCTCCTCGTTGTCCCGCGAGTCGTCGCTCTTTCTGTCTCAAGTCCGTCGATGTGATTCGCGTAAGAAGAGAGATACTGCTTCTACGATGATTATAAATATGTACGTAGTTACTTTGTAATGTAGGTTCTATACATAATTTTTATATGTGCGCATATTGAGAAAATGAGAGAGAGAGAGAGAGAGAGAGAGAGAGAGAGAGAGAGAAAGAGAGAAAGAGAGCTGTATAGTTCGGTGTGTATCTATAAAAAAAAGAGTGAGGCCGAAGAGATAATAGTAGCATCGACGTTGTCGACGCAACTACGAGTGGTAGCGTCGCGAAATTACGCAACGCGAGCGATTAGAATGGTTCGTATGAGAGAGAGAGAAAGAGAAAGAGAGGGAACGAGTATGTATGTTAATTAAAATGTGACGATATCTACAACGAGATGCAGAAAATAAATCAACAAACGACACGCTGTATGGAACTACCTCGGTAATTGTGTCTTCGTTTATTGTTTCCTTACGATCGTTCACTTCTTTTTCTTTAATCTGCGACTACTCGACCGGTCTTCATAGACCGTTTTTATTTCAAGATCATCTTGAGTAATGTCTTAAAATACAATCACAGAGGGCTTTGTGTTATTATTGTAATAATACGCCTCTGTGTATGTGGGTGTGTTTCTGATTGTGATTGATTTGCTTACAACACACTAAGATAAGTATAAGACTAGGAACACCGGTCCTTATCAGGGAGCGATAATTCATTCTACATATGTCTGCAATGCCTTTTTATTAATGTAGACAAATATCTACTTATAATTAACGTCGATTCCGAACGGCATGTCAGAGCAGGTTTCTTTGGAAGATGTTCTCGGTGGCTGGGCCTTTCGAGAACCATTCGCATATAAGACTAATATAGCTTTTCCTTTCTCATAACTCCGAAATATGCTTCTTTTTATATTTTATTACAGATAAGCCGGTATTCATAGTCAGATCTTACGTTTAAGACCGTCTTAAGTTTATCTTAAGACGCTGTATATAACATTTTACTGGCTACGGAGTATCTAAAGATGATCTTACTACGATCTTAAATATAAGACCTGACTATGAATATCATTCATAGAAATTATAACAGAATTCACCCGAGGATTTTTTCAGATGTCTGGCGACAGGCGTCCAATAGACACCAATAAGAGTTACATAACATGTATCAATATATTGTAATTTTTCACTCAATAATATAAATGCAAGGTCGGGAAAGTTACTTAAATGAAGGTATCTAGTTACAGTTACAGTTTTTTTCGCTAAAAATGTAACTAGTTGCAGTTACAAGTTACCAATTCTGAAAAGTAACGCGTCACAGTTACAGTTACTCAAAAAGTAACGTATCGCTTGTTACTTTGCAGTTACTTTGTTGCAATAAAAATAATCTGCATTTGAATTGTCAAGTGTCGATAAAGGCGTTTATGCGCGAATGCAATCTGTGCCTGATGCGATCTGTGGAGGTTTAAAACGTATAGAAAATAACTATTAATATCCCAGATAGCACAAGACACTCCTATGAACATTTTAAGAATATTTGAAATATTCCATAGGTCATTCTTGTATACTTATCTTGTGTTCGTGTGTTCCGGGTGAAGCTACACAATGTTAGGCGTTTTATTCAACGCGGGATCTCGGATTTCGTTTCAACGTGATTTCTTTAACTTTGCGGACGCAGTTGTATGCCGAGATATTTATCGAGAATTTTGAAGAAATTCTCATCTCAGTTTTCAACAAGGTGCGCACATTTAATGCCGCTAATGTGCCGATCACGCGTGATTCAACGTTTCATTTCCGGTGAGGGATTGGGGAGAGTCTCCAATAAGCCGCCGTGTAACAGCGGTCGAAAACACTTTCCTGGACGTTATCGCGGCGATAGAACAACCGCGCGGAGGGACCGGGCGCGGTTCTCGTTTTACAAGAGACGAGAATCGCCTTGTATTTCACGTGCCGTTGTGGCCGTGGCTCGCCGATGCCAGTTAAGTACGTGAAAATGTGCCGATTCTAACGAAACGACGGTCCGTCGCTTGTCCGCGCGGATATTACAGTTCGAGAAGCGAGATGCCACGGAGAGTGTACGTTTTACTTCTCCTGTACGCGACGATAATTCTCAACGGTAAGTACACAGGTGCAAAATTCGTATTGCATTAACAGATATCACATGTTCCAAACGGTCCGCGGTAAATTTTTGGATTAATTCAACATAATGTGGATATGTTAAATGGTGACATTAATACTATGTTAATGTTTTTCAGCGCGAAATAAGTGCGAGCGTCAAAGTGATTTAAAATAAATTTTGTGCAAAATCGATGTATTTTCAGTGATAAAATTAACTGGAAAAAAGTTGTTTTTATATTTTACAACTGTAATAATTCGGACTTTTATGTTGTGGAATAAAATCAATATCCTTTTGCTGTAAATTTTAACAGATAAATTCTGTCGCTGATAATACGGAACATACATATCTATTGTGTAAAATTTAAAAAAATGGGAACGCTTTGTGATATTTTTACACTTTTTTTATTTGTTTTAGTAATTTAATTGATTTAACACTTGAGTTTAATTAATACAACAGCGATATTTTAAGTTAACATACGAGTGTGTTAAATATTTAACGCGAAACTTTTACCCGGTGCATTTTTTTAACAAAAAAATCACAAATGTTCCAATTACGAAAACAGAAAACTGAAATAATATCAATTTTACCGAATTATGTACGTCATATTTTGGCCACGACGGGGTCAATGTGACATCAAATTGACACTATCCTGACTTTGCCTCTTCTCCCTGGGATTTTACATTCGCCGACGGAGATCTCCGAAAAGAAGGAAAGCGTTCGTCGATCCTCGAGGACGCCGAATTATCGCGAGCGTGTCGTCAGAGCGTTATTTCAGGATTTGTGCAGTGAATCGCGAAACTAAAAACCACCAGTGCCTGAAGATTAACCGACAACTAATTCATTTGCGATCTCGCATCAAGCTGGACTCGGTTTTGCACTGTTCTTAAAGCATTCGATCATAAATGATGAAACTTTATTTTTGCACTCTCCATTTCAAATATTCCAGAGTTCTGCAATAAAAATTCTTGGTTTTGTGTTAAACCTATGCCGATTAAGGTCGCTTAGGACGATCCATTATCCCCGTCAGATTTGTATTTGATTTTCAACTCTCGCGGTTCTTTTTATAACTTGTCACATCTTGCATTGTCGTGGTTCTCTTTTGACGTACATTTAACACACCTGTATATTCTGATCTTTCAATTGTTTATCGCATCGCAGAGTATGTACGTACGTAAAATTATACATAGGATACTATTTTAAATTTTGACACGAATTGTCTGTAAAGAGAGCTTCGAACTAAATTGAGGGCAGAATATTTGATCTTCGCTCATTTACGAGGAATAATTCGAACCGCAAAGAGTTAACATTGTCAATTTCCCCGAAAATTTGATTACGTATAAAGTTACGCGATCGAAGAACTAATTTCCGCGTTTAAAAGGATCCCTCGGCCATCTTTTTTTTGCCGACACAGTTAAATACATAATAGTTTAGACTTCCGAACTGAGATAAGAATATTCTAGTTGATTATACACCATTGACCTAAAAAACATGGTGTTCTTCTACAGGGGGAAGGGGATCAAGGGGAAGAAGGAAACAGTAAAATTTAAAAATCGCGTATCGACAGTTCGGTGTACGATCGACAACCATATCGACGCACAGTTCTGAAAAGTCGAAATAGACGCGTGAACAACATCTTAAGTAATATACATGTTATTGCGAATAATATTACCACAGCCCCGGTGGTCGAGCTGGCTAAGACGCCCGTCACGGATTGTAGGGAGGTCCCGGGTTCGAATCCCGGCTGGGGTAATATTTTTCGCAATAAGAATTTTAATCGCCAGATACGGTCAACAAAATCACCAATATTCTGAACTGAGTGTTCTAAGTATGAAAATGTTCTGCTGTGCGGTCCGTAACTTATCCTGGTGTTATTTTGTGCACAAAGTCAATAAAAAGAATTGCAAGCGCAAAAACTATATTTGACTGTGTCGGTAAAAAAGATGGCTGAGGGATCCACTTAAAAGACGAGGAGATTTCGCGCGTTTACGAGGATTTCTCATCTCGGTAAAAAAAAAAGAACGTTTTCCTCAGCGTATCTTTTCTTCTTTGCAGCAGAATGCGCGAGTGGTATTCGAGATCGTTGCTCGGAACTGATCGAGTTCGACGTCGACGAGATCGAGAATCACTTGTCCGAATTAAATCTCACGGACGTGCCTACGGTGAAGATGATGACCGCCGGATTCAAGTGTCCGGTCTCCGATCTGCCTTTCGGTGCGCTGAAGTCGGACTGGGCCAGACTGTTGTTGCTGCGAGAGGCTCAACCCGACGGGTCGATCGTCAAGCTCAAGCTCGTACGGTTGATGCGACTATTAATAATCGCTTATTACCAAATGGAGGAGCGTATTCAAGCGACGGGTCCTGAGGCGCAGGCCGCAGAGTAAGCCGAGCGGAATTTTCTTTCCCTTCTCCGCAGGTCCTCGGTAGCAAGGAAGATGAATTTTGATTCTTCGAGAGATCGATCGCCTCTCCTCGTTTCGTTAATTCAATTTAATTGGTCCTCGCGAGATTCGCTATAATCGGATAGCGTCACTCCGAACAATTATTCCCGTCTCTCGTCACGGGCGATTACGCATCCCGGCGACATATTAAAATAGCGCATACATTCGCTAAATATTTGATTTGCAAAACGTGACGGGAGTCGCTCGCGAAAACTCTAAGTGCGCGAATTGCATGATTCTTTGAAAATGAGCTTTAACAATTCAGCAGTAGCTTATTTGCCGAAGGTAAGTGCAGTTGGAGACACGTTCCCTTGTAATCAAACTCGCTCGAACTTTGGTCCAGTACACGTTTCGCGTCTGTGTTTAAGTTGGGATTTAAGCTAAGAGGAGCGAGAAGAGAAGCCCTGGGATGATGAATTTATCGAATCGCTGCCATTACGGCCGGTCTAAATCCACGCAAGTTTTACGGCGTATATACGCAAGGCGCTTCAATCGTATCCAATTTTGCCGGCAATTTTTTCCTTCTCTTTAATCCTCAACGTAAAAAGTTTAACAGCTTCTCGGTACCTCGAGTGAAAAGTTGCGAATAAATCGTAAACGCGTTTGCGTATTTTTCACGTGAGAACCTCTCTTCCGCCAAAAATTTCAGAATATAATGTAACAGAATTCGATAGAAATCTCTCGCTGCGATAATTTCAGGAAATCTCTGGTAGGTGAAACAACGACGACCACGGACGAGACGAGCCCAAGCAACGGCAGTAATTTCTCGGGACCCGAAACCCCGGGCAACAATGCGAGTCGTCGTTGTTCGCGTACGGATTCGTTCTCGAACGATATAACGCGACTGGCCACCCGGAACGACTGCCCGGGGATAAAATCGAGCGCGACGATAATCGAAATCGCGACGATGAGGAACCTGCCGAGTCCCAATGGAACAGCCGCTGACGTTCCACCCTCCGCGACGCGTCAGAACGTTACGTCGTCGATCGATCCTGGCGGCGCGAAGAAGGCAGCGTTGAAAATCCTGGGTAATTGCTTGAAGCATTCTTTCAAGGACGTCGCGCGGGCACAGAGCAAGGTGTTCGAGATCGTGAGGGATAAGGCGCGAAAGGGCAACGAGATCGACGATCGCGGGGGAGATCGCACCCTCATCAGACTATCGTCGCCCGCGAACGAATCCTGGCAACACGTGACGTTCGCCACGAGGGCTCCGCTAACTCTCTCTGGCATAGCAGCGCCGGCCTATCGAACGCGGGGATCAAACGGGCTGAGGAAAAGCCCGCGGAAGTTGCAGAAACGCATGAAATTAAACAAGGACCTTTACGAAGTCTTCAGACGGTTTTACGGCGTCGGCGAAAATGAAAAGGGCACGAAGTGAGTGTCTTCCGCCCCTAGTAGCACAGTGTATCGGCACACAGTGGCCCAAATACAACCAAACATTGGGCCATTGTTTAACCAATGTTTGGTCAGTGCACTGTGCTACTAGGGGCGTTTCGATGTCGCACGAAATGGTCGTGCTTCTCCCCGGACTTCTTCGATAAGCTCCGTGTACTTTTAAACGCTCGAGATTATTGTTGCAAAGTATATAGTGAAAAGTTGAAAATAAGTCTTTTATAGACACGAACAAACACAACACACACAAACTTAAAGAGTATAAGAAATTTTCTGTTGGCTATAGTTCAGGATAAATGATTCTATTATACAGGGTGTACCGGGAGGAAAGGTCAATATTCTGAGAGGCGATAGTTATCGGTCATTTCAAGCAAAAGTGTTCATACAGATATATGTCCCATTCCCCACTGTTTCTGAGATAGAGCTACTTGAATGTCTCGTGTATTTACTTTTTTCCGTACACTTCACCCTTCATCCAAACTCATAAACGTCTGCGGGAATTTACTCTTACACGTCTGTGGACTGTTGTGCTGATAACATTGTAGAAATGTTCAAAACGTAAAGGAACGTCACGATGTTACTTATTGTTAGACGAGCAACCATGTTCACGCCACGTTCACACAAGAATTGAAAAATTTTTGTTAACAGTGAAATTTTTGAAAATTTATTATAATCTGCAGAAATGTATCACTTGAACGATAAATATTAGAAATAGCACGTAGCATTTCTTTCTTGTCAGTAATTTTGCAACATTTTTGCTTAAAAAGCCGATACTATCACCGCCTAGAATATTGACCTTTCCTCCAGGAACACCCTGTATAACGTGTGTTTCCATATTCTATATACATATTTAATAAGAAATACGTAAATTATACATAAACCACAAATATGTGACAAAAGGCTCGTATGATATAAATCAGAATCGAGGAGAAAGGGCTCTGAGCCGTGACGAGATGTATGTGTCAAATTTATAAAATAATTTATTAAATAAACTAGCATAAAGCTAGTTTAACAATAAATTATTTTATAAATTGACACATACATCTCGTCACGGCTCAGAGCCCTTTCTCCTCGATTCTGATAAACCACAAATATAAGTAAAAATAGAAGAAAGTCCCCTATTATGAGATAACGCGTTTTCAACATCCAATTTTACAAATCTTTTTTCGCAACAATTATCGCGCACGATCTAACGAATTTTCCACTAAACAGATTTCACAATTCACCGAGAGCGTAGTGGAACCAACAGATGATGTCTATTAATTTATCAGGAACCCCGAGAATCTCATATTAGGGGGACTCTCTTCTATATGTATATTATGTTATAACTATATGTTCTGAATTTTACTCACTTTTAGAAAATACGATCTAATAAGAGCGATACCTCGATTGCGAATCAGTAACGAAGAGCAAAGAGAGGAAAAACGTTATAAAGAAAGAAATAGATGTACTGCGTGTCAAATTCTTGCGTGTCGTGCATTTTTCACGTGATTATTATCAGGCTTCGCCGGGCGAACAACTTTTGCCGAATGTCTCGTACAGAATCTCCATAAATTGATACTTCGATATATCTTCTTCCTATTCTTGTAACATTTGTACGAAACGGTTCGTCGATTTTCGACGTCTGTCTCGTCGGCTGATAAATATGAGAAAAGCGTGTCTCGCTTCCTATCAAACTTTCACGTCGGTCTAATTGCCTTGTGTGTTAATTCAACATAATATGTTAAACGGCGACACTAATACCATCCCACGCAGCACGCATGTCTAAAAGCCATCTTTAAGACGTCTTTAAGTCGTCTTTTAGACATACATATTTAAAAGATGACTTAAAGACGTCTTAAAGGTGCCTTTTAGACATGCGTGCTGTATGGGTATATGGTTGCTAATATTATAGTAATAATTACTATAAAAATATATTATAAAGATATTCCTGGCTATAATTATTTTACTATGCAATTGTTATAGTTTCAAATACTACATGTTTTTCCCTCGGTGTACGGGTGTGCGATAAATAGTACGAGTAACATCGTAGCGCGAGATACGAGATTCGGTCGCGAAGCGTATGATTTACCCGGCACACAATCGCGAGTCGCGTGCCGCTTATTTCGCCGTTCTGTTTCGTACCTATTGTTTACACGAGAGGAGACGCGGAGCACGTTCGATCGACGGCGGCGGCACGTATATGATCCGCGTTACGACGTTTCGATATATCTATTTTCGACGCCGCGCCGGTGTGTTTTTCGCGCGGGCACGTCTGCCACGCGCACGTGTTGCGCGCCCGCGGAGATGCACGAGGAATTCGCGACCCTATAAAAATCGAGATTTATACGACGCGACGGGGATGCATCGCGGGCATTACATTCTCGGTCCCGTTTACGGGCGCATCGATTGTATCGCGAGATTCGCGCGCGCGGCTATATGTGAGTTACGACTCGGCTCGACCCTTTAAATAAAATCGGAAACGAGCGAACGCCCCAAAGCTTTTGTCCGTCTAATGAAGCGCAATAAGAGAACATTTTCCCTCGGCGATCTGAAATTTAATTTGACGGCGACTCCTACGGATTGACGTAATAAGCGCAGAACGGAGGGGGCGCCTCGCGCCCGGCGCGGCGCGAGCGAGTGACCGCGTTACTTTATTAAATAAATGTAAATCAATCGTAGGAGCGATAAGGGAGCACTTCCAGTTTGAAACTTTCGCCGGACCGCGGTGAAACGGCACGGAGAGCGTGGAGAAAAGTAAGCCGAGAAACTAATCATGAGCTCGAATTCAATCGCGGGATTTCCGCGGAATCATCGTTCGGAACCGCGCCGCCGCGCCAGGATCCGCTTGCTCGCGCGTCCCCCCTCCCCTCCCCCAACCTAATATTAATTTCAATCTACATAAATGCATAATAATAAATTCAATAGCGGCTGGCGCGGATGCGCGCGACGTCGTCGAATCGGAAATATTACAGTATTCGGAAAAATTCTCCTTGCGGCGGCGGGCTTTTTCTTTCTTTCTTCCCTCGAACGAAAGGAGCAGAGCTGCGTCTATCGTGTCGTCCGTCCGAATAATCGTTTCACTAATAATCGTTATACAGTCAGACTGTCGCCACAAATGCTTCAAGGCGCTCTTCTCCTTTCTTTCGATAAAGATAGAAGAAGATCGAGAAATGCTTCAAAGCAAGCGCCTGCTCGCAGCCGATAGCGTTGTATTTTCACACGTAGCGGATAAATAAGTTATTAATGTATGCCTAATGCAAAGTTTTTTGACAGAAGCAGATTTTGTTGTAGAGAAGGATTTCAAAGTTGGCTTGGCTAAAGCGGGAATAATCACTGCTCTCTCCTTGAAAACTTAAGGGTTGTGAAAAAATTGTTAAAGATAAGCATAGTTTTTGGGCCGTTAAAGTGGAATGACCCCTTAAATGTTTCTTTACGTTTGTTTTACTGTGTGCGTATACATTTTTTAATTGCCAATGTTATACTTACGTCTCCTGTAAATACAGGGTGTTGAAAAAGGGGCGAAATATGTTATTTCGACTTGTTTCCGGGCATGCTAAATCTTCTTAAAACATTTTACTCTATGTTTCAACACGCTGTATAAATAGCATTATAAGCTTTTATACCTGTTCAATATTGGCGAATAATTTTTCATATGAGAGACATTCTCAAAATTTTACGCACACCTTTTATTATATTTTTTATTACATTGAAAAATGAATGGGCAACCTCATCTATGCAGGTGGTTTGTCTTTTACCGGATGTCATTGATTAAAGCCTAATCTACAATGTGCTATCCGCGTCTAGAATCATTTTATTTTGTAGCCAACAAACACGTTTAAAAAGATTTGTGCAAGTTGATAAATTGTATATTATACATTGTATAATTGTACACTGACGACAAATTTTTTAAATCGTAGATAAATTTAATATCGCCAGTAGTTAAAAACCAATAATATCTCATTTTAACGATCTACACTGGCCAATGTTTTTATTTTAAAAAACAAAACACGTTATAACGTTTCGGTCCTGGATTTGGACCCTTGTCAAGTAATCTGAAATCATATAAAACTCCGCACGACCTTAATAAAATAATTACAACGATCCGCACGATTGCTTAATAAAATAATTACAACGAAAACAAATCACAGAAATTCATACCGGTTACAAAATTATAAGAGATCACATATTAATTGTTTGGCCAATACCATTATGACAGGAAGCTGTGTACAAGCAGGAGAAGGATTACACCTTATTAAGGTTTAAAAAATGTCAAGAATAAATAAACTTACATATTAGTAAAAAAATAACAATTGCACTCATTGGTAGAAGAGTGCAAAGTCCATTGAAATTGCATCGTCGATTATTAAATATGAATAAAAGTGACAAGAGAACTGTATTAGACGAGAGATCAAGTTGAATTGACGGGCAAGGAAATAAATAAGACAATGATGAATACGAGATAAAACATAATATGAACAACAATTAGAGAGTCACATGTATTCTACATGATGACCAGTTAAATTCGTTATTATTTGATTTCAAGCTACGATCGTAAAGCTTTACGTAACGCGGAAAATCGCAAAAAATTAATAAATTCATCGGCTCTGTCTCTCGATTATAAGAAAAAAATTCTTTTAGGACGAAATAGCGAGGTAGAGCCAGGCTTCAATGAATAATCATCTTGCTTCTCAGTTGAATATTCAGGTTTACCCATTCAATCCCTATTAAAAATTGCGACTGTTGAATCGTTTCGAGATACAACACTTGCCCTCCCGAGCATTCGGTCTGTCGCGAGACGCTCTCGAGACGAGATTCAAATGACGACTACAAATACGGGGTCTTAAAGGCATCGCGATGTGTAGGTAATTGTTACGCCGTCGTAAGGTTGATTATAGTAATTTTCCTTGCTTCACCCAATTTTCCTCGCTCGCGACCGTCTCTTTACAACTCCGGCATGGAAATTAGCCTCGCGATTAGTCGTATCGCGTTCGACAAAGACCAACGAGATTGTTGTCGCCGGGGTAAAAGCGGGGGTTAATATTTCAGTTGTTCCGCTGTGTTTTACGGTTCTGTTACGCCACCCGGGAAACGAGATTCGCGGAGATCCCTCGCGACGTGTTCGATACCAGAATTTCGAGGCGATATCGACGCGAAACGTCGTTAATTTGATCCGTCCATCTTCTGGAGACCGTAAAGATACCTCGCGTACTTAATTCGAGAAGACGATACCCGATAAGCCGGTTCCAGCGTGATCACCTGATCAGCACGAAGTTATTTTTGCATAAAATTAGCGTAAAAGCGGGACGAGTGTCGATACGATCCCTTTTTACGACCGCTTCTCGATCCCCGGGCCTTCTACATTGGTAACCTTCAACTATTCGGAACACCCGGGAGTCTCGTTTGCATGCCCGGCAGTCGCGCGCTGCCGGAAGGG